GAGTGCGCGCAGGCGGCGGGCACCGGGCTCCCGCGCAGCCTGGAGCAGGCCAACCGCACCCGCTTCCCCTTCTTCTCCGAAGTCAAGGGCGACCACCGGCTGGTTCTGAGCGCCGTGGAGACCGTCGTACTGGCGCTCATCTTTGTGGTGTCGCTGCTGGGCAACGTGGGCGCTTTGGTGCTGCTGGCGCGCCGACGGCGTCGCGGCACCACCGCCTGCCTGGTGCTCAACCTATTCTGCGCGGACCTGCTCTTCACCAGCGCCATCCCGCTGGTGCTGGCCGTGCGCTGGACGGAGGCTTGGATGCTGGGCCCGGTCGCCTGCCACCTGCTCTTCTACGTAATGAGCCTGAGCGGCAGCGTCACCATCTTCACGCTGGCGGCCGTCAGCCTTGAGCGCATGGTGTGCATCGTGCGCCTGCAGCGCGGTGTGCGAGGCCCGGGGCGGAGGGCGCGGGCGGCAATGCTCGCGCTCATCTGGGGCTACTCCGCGCTCGCCACGCTGCCCCTCTGCGTCTTCTTCCAGGTTGTCCCGCAGCGCCTTCCCGGCACCGACCAGGTGAGCTCCGGGCAGGTGTCCTGGGCGGGCTGGTAGGCGGGGATCCGAAGGAAACGGTAACCTGGGATGAGGATTAACAACAGCAGTAATAGGCCATTTGTTGCACTTAACTGCTGTGTCAGACACTGTGCCCAGTACTGTGAAGTTTTATCTCATATTTCACTGCAACTCTGCAGTGTAGGTCCCACAAACACCCTCCAAAAAGATGTAAGTGGAGTTCCCAAAATGTCTGTATAGTGCACTGACTCTTTATTGCAAAGTTAATGAAATAACAGGGTGCTTAACAGCCAGCCAGCCAGAACTTCGGGGATCGGGAGTAGCTAATCACATTATATTGAATTCTGCTTTCTCGCTGGGTGCGACGGTCCTCTTACCATCTACTTTACAGATGAGAAAGCAGAGGCACACAGAGAAATAAGTCTCTCAGGATATCTCACTCTTAGTGCGAGGAGCTGAGATCGTGCTTAGCAGATTCAGTGAGGTCTGAGCAAGGGTTCAGAACCCGCGGGCAGGTGCATGTGGATGGGTCAGGGAGAAAGGGCATTGGAGACCTAGGGACCGCAGACTCAGTGCTGTGTCTAAGGGGCTTGTGACTTCTCCTCTTGGAGCCTCAATTTTTCCAACTGCAAGTCGAAAGGATTAGACTAGACCACAGGATCTTACCCTAAGAGACTTGGATGACGAGTGGTTTCAGAATATCTTGGGCACCCGAAATGTTCTGCATGAGCTGGGCCCATGAGCTTTATTCCGGGCAGCGCGCCCAGAGTTGTCACTGGGATCGTGGGGGAGGGAGTTGAGGAGGGTGGTCCACGGTCTAAAAAAGGTTCTTCAGACAGTTCATGACATTGGCTCGGGTCTACTCCAGTCCAGCGCTCCAGAATCGCGGGCGCTGGTCGGTTGACGTTGCTGGCCTGCTTGCTGCGCAGCTGCAGGGTTTGCGCGCCGAGATTCACCCCCGGCGCAGGCCGGGTTGTAGGACAGTGGCCGGCGGTTCTGGTTGTTATCCTGTGTATTAGGTTTTCTGCGCATCGCGGGAAGGGGCAGGAAAAGGATACAGGTCTGTGCGCCCCTACGGGAAGGTATGAACCCTCGCTCGGGGCTCAGCTTCCCCTAGGGTCTGCGGAGGCTGGATTCTTTGCCCTTCCTTTCCCCTAGAGAGGTCGCGCGACCACGAAAACTCAACCTGAGCACCAGGAGGGAGCGTGGGGCACCCTGAGCAAGCTCCTTACAAACCCAAAGAGAAACCTGTGCAGTGGCCAGAAGTGGATGGGAAGGTAGGGAGTCAGAGGGGAATGAGAAGTCACTCGGGGGAAGACTTCAAGCTCTGGAGGTGAACACAGTCTGAACAGGGGACGCCCCCTGCCCCCCGGGTGTGTCCTTCAGTCAGTTTGCAGAGGTGGGCTTTTCTGGGGGTTTCCTCAGACCATGTTGGTGTCACCCACCAGTGTCACACAGGGCTTTATTAGTGTGTGTGTGTGTGTGGGGGGGCCTTGGGGGGGAGGATCTGCATCCTGCGTAAGCAATATCTTTTTTTTTCTTTTAACACAAATAAAACTTAAAAGCCTCTTGATAATTTATTTCTATGTGTAATACATTTGGGGATTTTTGCCTATTTGTTTTGTTTTGTGACTAACAGGCTAGAACTGTCTCAAGCCTGTGGCACTTGATCAAAAAATATGTAAGCCTGTGGCATGTCACCTCAAGTGGGGACCGGGAAAGCTGGGATTAGCTGAACTGGTGGGTGACACCAACATGGGCAGACCAAAGATCCTAGCTTACTTGGCAGGTTTGTCCTTCCTCAGACCAGATTACACCTGAGAATTAAGATGGGTCACATAGATGCCTCTCAAATAAGCAAAAGACCAGGCCTCATCTCAGACCAATTGGATCAGCTGGAAGCTAGGGTTCTGCCATCAGTCTTCTGATTTTTTAAGTTATTCTCTCACTGAATTACAGAATTTCTGTGTTTTCCACAGAATTTGAGGGATTTCTCCCCACTTTTTTTCTTACAGAAAAATTAACACTCAGGGAATTAAGGATCAAATAGAATATATCTTAAGGGCATCTTAGATTTCCAGATGTGTACCTCGTGCCTCTCCCTTTTACAGTTGTTTTAGGTACACTTCTATTTAACTGCGAATAACACTAAAAAATGAGCCTCATGTCACCTGTAGGCCAAAAGCTCAGACCAAAACTGGTTGCTGGCATGGACACAGGTGAATGTTTGAGTGAGGAGTCTTTTGCACAGATGACGGACCTTCCATGTCTCGCCGCTTTGTATTTTACCCCTGGTAGGACATCTGTGTGTGGTCAAAACCTCCTACATTCCACTTCCAGAATGACCAGAGTTGTACTGCAAGGTGCTTCTCTGGAGATCTGTGTTGTGGTGGCCTTCCCTCTGTTCTCCTTGGGGTCGGGCACACAGGCCCCTCTTGTTTAAAGGCAGAAACACTTCCTTGGTCTTCAGAGCCTTGGAAGAGAAATTTGGGCAAAGCCACAGGGAGAGAATGGACCTGCACGGCACCTCAGAAGATTGGGGGCCAGGTGAGTTGGCTACAGGAGCCCTGTTCCCTTAAAATAGTAGAGGTAGGGAGAGGGAGCTTGTCATGAAACCTCTATAGTCCTTTCCCGTTCTCCATCCTCTTTGTCTTCCTCCACCACCCACACATACACCTGCCAGTTAAACCAACAAACTCCCCGTTTCCACAAAGGCTGTGACCTGAGCATGCAGGAAACAGCTTGTCTTACAGGTGAGCAAACAGGCTCAGTGCTCTGGGAAATAAGTTGAAAGGAATGAGAAATGAAAAAAAAGGTGGGGCGGGGGATGTTGGGGAGAATGTGGCCATTTAAAAAAAGGAGAAAGATCTGGTCTAGACTGAACTGAGTCTCACATTAAAATTAGCAAAGTCTTGTTTTCTCAGTCCTCTACTCCTGGCTTCATGAAATATGAAGGTTTTGGATGGGAGACATTTTCCTACCCACACCACCAGCTGAGAGAACTAACTAACCCC